TGTGGGATCTTCCCGGACCGGGGCATGAACCCGTGTCCCCTGCATCGGCAGGCGGACTCTCAACCACTGCACCACCAGGGAAGCCCCCCACCCCCTTTCTTGATTAATTTTTTATGACGCTCATTTCATCTCTCCTGGTGGCTTACTAACTAAACTTTTGTTTAGTGGTTTACAATATATATCTTTAATGTACCACAGTTTACCTTCAATCAAATTCTGCTTAGATCACATAGATTATAAGAACCATGAAACAGTACACTTCTAGTTCTTCCTTCCCATTCTTGTGCTTTTGTCGTCATACATTTTATTTCTGTACATGTTCTAAGCCCCACAGTGCATTATTAATGTTTCTTGCTTTAGGCAATCAGTGATCTTTTAAAAAGTTTAATCCCCCCCATGTTTATTTACTTATTGTTACTTATTTTTTAAAAATTTACCATTTCTGCCCCTCTTCATTTGTTTGTGTACATTCAAATTTCCACCCCCACCTATGGATTTCTCAGGTCTCCTCCACTGGCTCAGTTCTTTCTGATGGACACCTGATAGAGATCTCTGGCAAATGTGTTTGGATTCCGCTTGTGTCTAGAGCTTCCACAGATGCTAAACAGTTGTCCTAGCCCACTGTTGACCTTTAATAATCTGGTAACTTTTTTGTTGTTCATCACCCGTTTCTTTTATGCTCTGCCAAAGTAAAAATACTTAGAGTCCTGTCTGTCCTTGGAGTGACTTGGGAATTTAGTTCAGTTGATTGTCTTGTAATCTTAGCTCTCTGATGGACTAAAGAGTTGGTGTGGTTTTATAAATTATGTGTTTCTTTCCTCATCTTTGGAGTGGGGATGACATTCTCTTGTGGATTTCTACATCCTAAACAGGACCTGAAATATGCAGAGGAACCTGAAAAATTCGAAGTGCAAAACAGCAAAGTCCTTCCCTCTTCATACAGTGGAGTGAGTCCTTTGCCATAGAAACTCCTTTAGCAAAGGGTATTTCCTGGCTGTTGTATCATTTAGACTTCAGTTGCAGATAACAAAATATTGGAGCTGTTTTAAACAGAATGGGATTTAACTTTAGAAATTAGATGCTTAAAATCATTGATAGGGTTGGAGAAGTAGGCTCAAGCTGGACCTCAGAATAGTCCCACAGAAATGGTTCCACAAGTGAGCTCTTAACCTCTGCCCCATATGGAAATTGAGAAGCTGCTGGGTTAACTTCTGGGCCAGGATCACACTACTTTAGCCGTGATTTGAGATCAGGAAACCTCTAGCAGCGTCATTGGCTCTAGAACAATTTTGTGCCTCCTACTTCTGCTGCAGCAAAATGGATCCCTTGTGCACCATCCACTCTATGCCTGCTTAATTCACTTCTGAATTTGTCTTATACACATACATCTGATTGGCAGAGATAAATCCAAGGGGGTCTTGGAAATATAACGTTGGATATCTAGCCTTTGTAGCATAAGCAAGTGAACTAGAGGGAAGTTAGAAAGGATACTGAGCAAGTCATAATTAGAGACGACAGAATCCATTTGAGTGAGCTATTATGAGGAGACAGAAATGTTATTAAAGGCTGTCAGAAGGCTAACAGACGTTAGCCAGGGATCCACGTTTCGATGCTTCACAGACAGGACTTGTGAAGCCAAGAGCAGTATCTAACCCCACAATGGCAGTGCTCTAGCAGGAGCCCCACTACAACATCTGCTACCTCTACTCAGCAATCTTGCATGATTCTGTTCTACCTTGACTCTGTCAGTAAGTGCCACGTATCTAGGGTCTATTCTTAGAACACTTCACTTTTTACCAATTTTTGTATTAGAGTACTTTTGATTATAAGTGAGAGAAACTCACCCTCATCTAGTTTAGAATAAAGGATAGATACTTTGGTTATATTAGTCAGGGTTCTTAGTTGGTAAGTACAGATTTCTCTATAATTTAAACTGAAAGGCATATAGGATATTAGGTTCTCATAAAATCTCTGGGAAGACTAGAGAACCAGGTTTGGATGCTGCACTTCCAGAAACAGTGGAAAGACCCATGCCCTCTGCTGCTTGGAATCCATGATGTCAAACATGGATGGCAGAAAAGTCAACACACATGCCCCAGAAGAACGTGGTATCCCAGCCATTGTTCTTGCCCAACTATCCAGTCTCCCTGCATGCAGCCTTATTCTGATGTTGCTAACTCCTGTACCTAAATGTCATTCACATTTGTCAGCTTGGCTAAACCTGGCCTGTATGTCTGCATCCTTGTTCAAGAGTATCTGGGGAAAATGTATTTAGAGCTTCAAGGAAGGTAAGCTGGAAGTAGTTTGGAAATGGGTGTACAGTTTATGCCACCATCCACTTCTTTGACTACTTAACATCCATCCTTGCCGTCTCTACATGCTTCCTTTCCAGACATCAACTTTAAAACAATAGTAATTATCCCTGAATCATTAGAAAATATGGTACTATTTCCTTAAATGAGGAGGCTTAAATTTAACGTCACAGCATCCATCTCTGGTTGCTGTTTATTCCTCTTCTGGTTTTAGCCACAGCCCTGTCTTTATAGCTTGTAACTTCTGCATTAAATTATAAAGGTAAAAACACCACCACCAACAGACCTTATATAAAAAATAGAAAGGGAATTGGGTGCAGAAGGAAAACAATTACACTGAGCAAGGAAGAAAACACAGATAGCTTCGTTAGTCTTCCGTCAGGATAGAACAGCGCGTGCGCGCGCACACGCACACACGCGCACACGCACACACACACACACTGTTCTCCCCTCCGTATCTTAGATGACCAGAGTTCTTAGTCTGGTGGGGTGACCCAAACCTTCATTCTTGCAGGTTGTGGGCCCTGGGTTACAAGAAGTGTTCTGTGGGAGTAAGTCATTCATAAGTCTGTGTGTGCTATTGCTAGTCAATAGCACAGAAAAGGCAAATCATATCTAGAATAATTGTCCATTCAATGAAAACAGGTAACTGCTGAGAGTCTAATCTAACTGACATGTTACCAGGAATGGTGCCATGTTGGAGGCCCAGTGTACGCTGTTCCTTGCAGATTAGGCAGTTGGAGTAATCAGATAAGAATGGGTGAGAGGACATCCCTGTGGTGGCATCCACAGGTGTGTCCATTTTGTTTACGTGTCCTTTGAGCAGTCATTGGGTGGCTAGGGAAAGAGGCCGGCTTATAGCCATAGGGATCATCTTATCCAGCAGACGAGTGAAAAACCTCCTTTGCAGAGGAGCCTTTGTGACCATGGGGGCTCAAATATCCTCACAGCCAGGCCCACCCTCACATGTCTGACCCACAAACCTCTTTTATAAGCATCATTGTTACCAGTCCTCTAATCTCATTCCTTTCAAGTCCCTGATCATTGTGACAAGTAAATAACCATTGTCCATGGATGGGTATGGATTAGTACCTCTGGCCATCTCTCTTGCAACTCAAAGTAGAAAACCAGATGTCCACTCTAATGTTCTGCCCTCCAAAAGGATCTCCCTTCTTCGCTGGGCTTCACAGTCACTCCTGCCTGGGGCTGAAATGCTGCAGCAGTATAATTCCAGTCGGTGCCCCTACATCATGCGGAGCCATCTGCCACATTCAGATTTTTTCCTCTTCAGTTGACGTGTTGGAACTCCCATGGAAGCTGAGTGAGGGTTGAGGGAGAAAGGATGCTACCTCAGGAGTGTGACCTACGCTACTCCTTGATGAGCGTGTGCTGGTGCTGAGCACAGCTGATGAGGACTTTATGGCTTGGATAAACTCTGGCTCGCGAGGAAGCTCAGGTTACAGGGTCACTTGGTTTTCTTTTCTCAGGCTTCCAGGTAAATTGCATGCCCGGGCCTATTTCCCAGAAGAAGAATAATTAAGGGGATAAGAGGTTTTGGCTTGCTTAAAACCCTGGGAGACTACGCCTCAGCTGTCCTGTGAGGTGTTGCTGTAGTTGGCTCCTTAACGCCATCCCTCAGACACTTTCAGCTCCATTAGATTGCTTGTTAAATGGGAGAAAATTATGTTTGCTTTAACTGCAATCCAAATGCCAGCTGTGCCGATCTGTTCCTGTAAGGAGACCACATTTGTTGAAGTTGCCACCCAGTTAAGTTTTAAAATAACGTCCTTTTTCTAAACTCCATTTATTTTTCTCTTCAGACCAAACAGGTGAGTTAAATGTGAAGATGACAGGAATTGCATGGTTGTTGTACCTGTGGGTCATAAACAGACCCCCAGCTGCACTGGGGTCTGGGAAGAACTATTTTAACTCTAAACCCAGTGGTGCATTAGGGCAAGCTGGGAGTCAGAGAGTGCTGAGTCATCTATCAGTAAAATCTGCCACGACAGCTAAAACTCGAATGTTATCAGTCATTTTGTTTGATCTGCCCTGATTTGCATCTTGGAAGACTAACAGATCTCCCTTTACAGAGGGACATATTAAATATATTCTTTCATTGTGGGTCTCATAAGTAAAGGCTCATTTGGCCATTTTGAATAATTATGGAACATAGCAGACAAGCTTCCTATTTTTCTAATATGTACCACACTTGGCTATGTTCTTTTTCAGAGATTTAGGTTTTCATTTTATGTACAACAAAATAGATCAGAATAGAGCAGTTTTGGAAAGGATGAGAAATATTATACCAGAGACCAATGACCCCCAGTTGTAGGTGGCATCTTTGGAAGTTGAAGAACTCAGTCCAGATTCTTTAAAATATCATTTCTAAAAATTGTACTTCCACCCCACCTATAGCCCGAGAAAAACTGAGTAAGTCATGAAATATTTTCAGTCGTAAGGTTTATAACTTTTAACAGAATGGGAGTTGAGAAATGGAATGTGCATCTCTAGCTGAATAGAACTTGTTTGGGGACCCTTTTGCTCAGAATTAATTTCAGTTTTTCAAACATTTCTTCTAGAATGCATCTTCCATGTGGATTATTACCTCCTTATTTTTAAGAAGTGGTTTTAAAGGAAAAGAGTTTCTACGGTAGCTTGTTTTCATTATCATGTTAAATTTTTTTTCAGCTCCCTTGGAAATCATTGACTAGCATCATTGAATATTATTACATGTGGAAAACTACTGACAGATATGTGCAGCAGGTAATTTTTTCATATTGCTACCAATACAATTGCATTAAAATGAACTTTCTATTTATACATTAATATTTCTTAGCAATATGCTTAGTTTTAAATTTGTTTTGTTTGCTTTATCTTTTCTAGACCATTTTAAAGTACATGATTTCATATCTTTAACATATTAAGGTTTTAGTCTCGATATTTTCTTTACTTCAGATTCCATTATGATAAATATTTTGGACAGACAGCAGGGAAAGATACCAATAGAGAGGTGTTATTTTCCTTGTAGGTGCCTGGTGCTTCATCTCTTTGTGAGTATAGTTGACAGGAATGACTGAAACTGTGTAAAAGATCTTCTGAACCCTCCTAGACATTTTTGTGGTTATACCCCACAGTATAGGGTATACCCCACAAAGGTCTTTGACCTTAACAGTAGTAGTTAGTCTTTACTAGTTTGATACGTCGTACATAAGCACGCAACTTTTTTTTCCAAAATTATCTCTAAAAGCAGGGAATCACTTATTTTGTAAATTCTCCCCAAATGTCCCAAATTGAGGTAATTCTCTCAGTTACCTGTTTTGAGTAATACTACTTTTGGGGGAAAGGTACATTTTCCTCAAGTGACCTCAGTCAGTATATTATATTCTTCTAGTTAACATGTCAGAACTGGTAAAGGGGCAAGTATATTTAACACAGACATTATTTTTCCTAAGTATATGATCACCCAGTGGCAAGTGTTAGATGCTATAAAAATACAATTTAAAGATCACTTTAAAAATTACCATAGTGAGTTGTTGAGGTTGTGAATAGTGAATAAATACCCATGGCTTGTTGAAAAATTCCCAGCATCACATGATATATAATTCAGAAAGTGCTCATTTCAAACTAGCATCCAAATCCAGGCAAGATGGTTCTTTAGGACATTAGTCTGCCATCTTCTCGCCTGTTGGCTTTCCTAATAAAGTTGTTCCCCCACCACCACCCCAAATACTTACTTCAAACAACTTAGGTAGCATGAAGACCATGTGCTCTGGAAAACCTGTGTTATTCAAAGTGAAAAGAGTCCCTAAAGATAGATGGTGGCGATGATGGCATCAAGGATGGTTGAAAGTATTTGGATAAAAATTATTTCCCAAAATTTGGACTCCTTCTTTAAAAGTTTTAAGTTGTCTCCTTAAATGTTTTTGTTTTCTTCTCATTGAGCAAATGGAGGGTTGTCTTATATTCTGATTTGTCTTCATTTTGAGTATCTACCATACATTATTTTCCTTCCCTATTTGCATTTATTATTGTGTTGATCACTCTCTGGATGTGATTTTATAATCTTTTCCCCATTCCTTTCCCTGCATTTGGCTCCTAATTGGTTCCTAAAAATCTGACATGAGTTCAGCCAAGCTTTAAAGTTTACTGCATGTCTCCCAACATTTGAGGGTACATGCTTATTTAATTGGACTTAGATTAGTTACTGTCTCCTTCTCTTTCATGGACTTTGGAAACTAATCATCTCTGAATAATTTTCTAAAAGCAAAGGTTATGTATTTTTTTTTCCCTCTGAGAAAGGCAAAAAAGAAATAAATAGAAACTGTGAAAAGTAAAAATGGTTACTTATAAGTCCTGTTTATCTGCTCATGGGGGAATAGGAAACAGTTGTTCATTGCTTTACTTTTAAAATTTGTGTCTAAAATGTTTTTAATACTTGTAGTTCTGTACCTCAGAATCTAGTGATTCTTTCTTACAAACCATTGCAGTTTACGTGCATGAAAGAAAAGCTCATCTTAAAAAGGCAATTTTTGAAGTATACTTTAATGTTTTATTTTCTTGTGAATTTTTTAAGGCAGATGAAGTGGTAATAATTATTCGACATCATGTGTAAAATATTTTATCTATCTTTTGAATTAGAAACGTCTAAAAGCAGCAGAAGCTGAGAGTAAGCTGAAACAAGTGTATATCCCAACTTAGTAAGTAATGGAAATCTTTTAAAATATTTGCCATGGTATTAATTCTCTTCAAAACAAAATATGTACATTTTGGTCAGTTTCAGCCAAATTTGAATTTCTTTATGTATCTTATTTTCTTCCACTACAAAGCACTGTTTGCTTTCCATTTTAGTGCCACTTAAATGACCTTTTTTAGAAAGAGAAATGGCTGGTGGGGGAAACCCCAAGTCAGCTAACAAAAGGACCAGAGGAAACATGCCATCAAAGCTTCAGGGAGGACTTCCCTGGTGGTCCAGTGGTTAACACTCCACGCTTCCACTGCACGGGGGTGCATGTTCGATCCCTAGTCGGGAATTAAGATCCCACATGCTACACAGAGTGGGAAAAAAAAAAAAAAATTTAAATTAATAAAAAGCTTCAGGGAAAGTGTTAGAAAACTAACCTATGAAAATATTATTTGAAGCAAATGTGTTTCAGAAAGCTAGCAACTTTTGAAACTTCTGTATTGTTTAATGTATTTTGTTTGGGTAATGTGTGTTGCCCTTTTGAGGTATGTCGTTTATTTGGTTGAGAATTTTACATTGTTTGCTTGGGGAAAGGGTTAGGGGACATAATTAGAACCAAACTTTGTAAATCATTGGATAAATAATGAATAGGTTTCAGTTGTTTCAGATGCCTAGCATTCTATCATTATTGTCCTTTTGGTTTAGAAATCATTGTCATATCAAAATGAATGCCAATTTTCTTTTCATTTGCTACATTTTAAATGAATTATCTTTTTTTGAGGTCATGAGTTTGACAGTTCATTTGTTCAGGAAAATTTATTGAGCACCATGTATATAGTGCTATCCTACGTTCTTTGGGGATTAAAATGAAATTTACTACAGCGTTCTGTGTACTGATTCGAGCTTTTTCACTCTTTGAGCTCAGTACAGTTGTTTTATACCTCCCCTTTTGTTTACTGAATTTTGATATATTTTTATATACAGGAGGCCTCATAGACACTGAATTGTTATATTTCTTATGAATTTTTTATCTCAAGATAGATAACATGTAATTTACAGGGTCCATAATTTTTATTCAGAGCTGTAATGTCCTTCCTGCAGAGTGGTTTCTAATATTTTAGAAAATTATATGTTTTATTTGACTAATCTATAAAAGAACAACTCCCCAAAGAAAACACTGCTGTGATTCATGTGTCTTAGATTTTCAAAAACAAGCATACCAGCTTTCTTATACTTTGCAGTGCTGTCACATCAAAGGAAAAGTACATTAAGCCAGTTTTCAGCAAATAACCCAGATAATTGTTGCTATTCTGTTTTGCATTGACTTTGGAGTCTTGATCTAAGCCTTGATCTAAGTCAAAGACTAAGTCAAAGACCAGTATGTGGGCCAAATCTGACCTGCCACCGGTTTTTGTAAATAAAGTGTTATGGAATACAGCCATGTTCATTCATTTATGTATTGTCTCTGTCTGCTTTTGTGCTACAGCGCTCAATGGTTGCGCTCAATGGTTGCGACAGAAATTATAATACCCACAAAGCTTAAAACATTTATTCTGCCAATCCCTGATCCAAGTGAATGACTTTTGAAGATCAAGACAGAGTTTCTAATCATACTTTTAAAAAATGTTATGTAAATCATGTATATAAATAGAATATATGAATTCTATTTATTATGAATTTATTATTCATAATAAATTCTGTTATGAATCTGTACTGTTGAGTTGGATAAGAATCTGAGTTCTTTGAAGAATTTCCCAATTAACTCTGAAATATTATTTTAAAACAAATAATAGATTAAGTTCTTTGGGGGAGGGGATGCTGTGCTACATGGCTTGTGGGATCTTAGTTCCCTGACCAGGGATCAAATCCAGGTCCATGGCAGTGAAAGCACAAAGTCCTAACCACTGGACCACCAGAGAATCCCCAAGAATTATTTTATACTGTCATTCTTTTGAGACTGGCAGTCTCCTATATATATGCAAAGCACTCTGTTCACTACTAGAGGTAGATCAGTTAAGAAGACACGTTGTCTTCTGGAGCCTACGTTCTATTGTGGGGGAGACAGATGCCCAACAGCTAGTCACGCAGTGTGTTGAGTACTCTGATGATGAAGAAGAGATGGTGTGACAGTTTGTTCTGGGGACCACACTCGGGTGATGCTGTCAGGAAAGATTCCTTGTGGAGGTGAGTTTGAGTGAACTGTAGAGGAGGGATCATTCAGGTGATGGAGGCTTTCCAGGCCAATGGGATTGTGAGATGGGAAGGGGCAGAACAGAGTTACGGAGGTGAGAGAAAGGCAGTGTGGCTGGTATGAAGAGAGTGGTGAGCCATGGGAGGCCAATACGGTAGGCAAGGGCCAGGAGTTAGCCATCTGATAAACAGTGGAATTGGATTGTAAACAAGTAAGTATCATGATTAAATTTCTATGTACTTTAAGATTACTGGCTACATTTTGGAAAATGGTATGGGGAAACAGGGGAGTGGATGTAAGAACACCAATTATGAAAGTTCTTGGAGAAGAAAGATGATAGTAGCTTGACCTGGAGCTGTGGCCTGGAAATGGTATGCTACTTAGAGGTGATTGACTTGTATGGAGAGATAGAGGGGAGATGCCAAGCTGAGTCCCAGGTTTCTGGCTAGCTCAATTAACTAGGTGGATTGCCGTGCTGTTCACCATGATGAGAAGCTGCGGCAGAGAACCAGGTTGGGTCATTTTGAGTTTGTTTTCTCCAAAAAGAGGTGTTGAATATGCTGTCAGATATATTGGTCTTAAACTCAGGAGAAAGTTCTGGGCTAGAGGTCCGTATTTGAGCGTCATCAGCATATAATACTGTGCTTGAAACTATGCATGAGACTTCTTAGAGTAATAAGAAAAAAGAGCCTTGGACCAAACTTGAGGAAATCTGTTCAATATATCAGATAGAGTATGATAGCTGAAAAAGGATAGCCAGGTGAGTGCATTATCACACAACCTGAGAGAGGAGTGTCTTTCAAGGAGGGAAAGAGGTTAACGGTGTCAAATGCTAATGAAAAATAGCCAGGGAATTGAGCAACATGGAGGTCGATGGTAATCTTTAATAGAGTGCTAAGGGCTGCAGACAGTGAAGATTAGCAGCTCTCAGGAAAACTGGCTGGAAAAGGCAGTCGAGAGAGTTCTTGGCATTGAGGGGTGAGTTTGGATAGAGTAATGGGGGAGTTTTTTAAATATGGAGAAATGGAGAAATCTGTTTCCATGGTAATGAGGGGGGTCCAGGAAAGAGAATCAAGTGTACAAAGTTCTCAAGAGGGCAGGAGGGCTGCAATCTGGAGCATAGATGAGGGGAGGAAAGGTTTGGGCATTAGATAAAGGAAGGGCAGCATTTCATATAATGCAGCTTTAAAAACTTTAAAAAAAAATGTTTGTCTTTATTCAAATGGTCACATTGACATTAACCATTTGTCCCCCGAGAAGTAACCTGTAGGTACTTGGTTTTGCAAAACATGTTTTAATTGGTTCACCTGTCTATATTCCATCTTTGCACACTCATTTTCCTTTTGTGATTATTAGAATTAAGGTCAGTGGTTTATTCAGTCAAATAACATTCTAGATTCAGTTGAACAACTAAAGTTGTGTTTACTCTCATTCATTTTTCAGGCCGCTCAACTGTAAATTTGTATTAGGTCTCTTAACACATATATTTTGCCCTGTGTAAAATGTCAGAAATGTTCCTATTTGGAGAAAGCCTTCTGACATTATCAGCCATTTGACTTCAAGGGGCTACCACTTCTTTCTATGTATAGTAGATTTTAAAAATCAGAAATATTTTTACATACCCTTGGAAATCTTAGTCATTCTGAATCATCACTTTTAATTTTGTACTTTTCCAACTGAAAACTGTAAGAGGAGAAATACGTTCTGTCTGGTTTAAAATGTGTCTTTGAAACCAATTTGTCTTCAAAATACATTGCTGGAACAGATTTGAAGTGTAAATAATAGCCCTGTTTATAGAATAGGGCCCTCAGTGCACACAGAGGTTAAATGATTTCTTCTGGGGTGGTGATGGGGCGTCAGCTAAGAATTATAGTAAAAGTGGCAGAAAGAAATCTTATTTTTTTTTAAATTTATTTATTTTTATCATTTTTGGCTGTGTTGGGTCTTTGTTGCTGCACACGGGCTTTCTCTAGTTGCGGCAGGTGGGGGCTAATCTTCGTTGTGGTGCACGGGCTTCTCATTGCGTTGGCTTCTCTTGTTGCGAAGCACGGGCTCTAGGCCTATGGGCTTCAGTAGTTGTGGCACGCGGGCTCAGTAGTTGTGGCACGCGGGCTCAATAGTTGTGGCTCGCGAGCTCTAGAGCGCAGGCTCGGTAGTTGTGGCGCACGGGCTTAGCTGCTCCGCGGCATGTGGAATTTTCCTGGACCAGGAATCAAACCCGTGTCCCCTGCATTGGCAGGTGGATTCTTAACCACTGCACCACCAGGGAAGCCCAGAAAGAAATCTTAATTTGTCATCAGGCCAAGTTTACATATTAGGCTTTCACTGGTAAATGTAAGTGTGGGAATGAGAAACAGCAAAAAGGGAACTCACAAGCCTACTCTGTGCTGAAACTCCAGGTGTCTTAATAGTTGTGAACTCTCATTACTTCACAAGCCACAGGAAGATAGAGTATGGTCTGCATTTAGTCATTCAGCATTCATTACTAACAAATAATTTGCTAATTTACTTTGCTTATTTTTTGCCCGGCAAATAGACATGAAAGCTCCTCTGGAATGCAAGCTCCTTGATGTTGGCACTTTTGTTTACTGGGCACTGAATAAATATATGTTAAATGAATTATGCGTGTATTGAGGACACACTATGTACACCTGTACAGTATTCTTAGGCATGGCTGATAAGCAGGGGAGTTAGGCTACCCCAGATGGGAAAAAGTGAGCCATGTTTGCTCAGTAAATACCAAGACAATCTGGGTTACATGTTTGTGAGGAATTACGTCCTCTGGAAATCTGATAGATATAACTTTTTCCTCTTAAAAAGAAATGCCTCAAATACATTGATTGGTTTTTCTAATTTCAAGTGCTACTTAATCTTCGTCATATATATTCAAACATGATAGAAATCACGGGTGGTCACAATCTCCTGAAATGCTTTTACCTCTCGAGATATGCCTTGCTGATATCCACAGTGTCTCTGTTGGGCATGTGGCTTTCGTGTAGTTCCCTTGAGAGCCAGTGCGTGGAGTCAGCAGCTGTCACACCAGCAGCAGGAATGGGACAGTGGTTTTCTCTAAACACAGCACACTACCCTTGGCTCAATTATTTAATCCAAAAATTATATTCTCAGGAGAATTTATGATAGGTGATAAAGCTTAATAAGTTGTATCTTTCAAATTTATCAGAGGGTGTCCTAAGGAAATTGTGTTTGGGTGGAGAAGAGATACGGTGTATTTATTTTGTGAGTGTCAGGCTTAAGAGTTTTTTTTTTTTTTTTTTTTTCGGTACGCGGGCCTCTCATTGCTGTGGCCTCTCCCGTTGCGGAGCACAGGCTCCAGACGCGCAGGCTCAGCGGCCATGGCTCACGGGCCCAGCCGCTCCGCGGCATGTGGGATCTTCCCGAAACCCGGGCACGAACCCGTGTCCCCTGCATCAGCAGGCGGACTCTCAAACACTGCGCCACCAGGGAAGCCCAAGAGATTAGTTTTTACATGACGTTGGTTTGTAAAGATAAGTGGTTTGGGTTCATTTTAACACCTTACTTTTACCAGTTTATTTCTTCTTCACCAAACATTCAAATGTTTATTTATGTGTAGTTAAGGTAAATCAGTAATGAAATGTAGAGCCTTTTACCTTGTTATGCAAGTCATTTTTATCACTTCACTTTATATTTCATTGAAAGCAGCAAACCAAATCCCAACCAAATATCCACCAGCAATGGCAAACCTGGTGCTGTGAATGGAGCCGTGGGATCCGCATTCCAGCCGCAGAACCCTCTCCTAGGGCGAGCCTGTGAGAGCTGCTATGGTAAGTTTTCTCCAGTAGGGCTTCCCCAGCTCCTCTGATGCCTGTTGTGGGTGAAGGGCAGGGAATTGTGCTGGCATTGCCGGGCAGGAGGTGCGAGAGGTCAGCACTGCGCAGAGGGCAGAATAATGTAGCCTCAGAGTGGACAGGTGCCCATCCTTACCTTCCACCTGGACACTGAGTTTAGGTATTGGGTTTCCTTTGATTTGCTTCTGTGGTGTCCTGGGTTTGTTGAGCAGTGTGTGCTAAGCTGTGTGCTAAGCTCAGTAGTTGTGGCGCATGGGGCTTAGTTGCTCTGCGGCATGTGGGATCTTCCCGGACCAGGGCTCGAATCCGTGTCCCCTGCATTGGCAGGCGGATTCTTAACCACTGTGCCGCCAGGGAAGCCTGAAAATTAGATTCTTTTGGTCAAAATTTTACATGGATTGCGTAACTGTTTTTGAGTTGGCAATTAGATTTTGAACTTCATTTATATTTAAATGAAAATAAGAAGAATCCTGCAGACAAGTGGTAGTGGCTTAATGTGTCTTATTTTTGCCTTACAAACCCCTTTCATGTTATATGTAGTCTCACATATCCCTTTAAATAATTATTTCACCATTTTTATGTGTGCGTGACAAATAAGCAATTTTAATTTTAGGTCCATGTATTAAATAATCTATTATAAAATGTATCTTACTATAATATACATATAAGTTTTATCTTTATAGAAAGATAGAATTTGGTGTTTTCTGTTTGTCACTTTCATTGAATTTGAGTTAATTACATAAAGAGAAAGGCATTTGTTGACATACTAAAATGACATGTCATGGTTAATTTGGGTGAAAATAAATATTTAAATATGAGTGAAATTTTATGTTCAGAATCCAAAATAGGCCCATGCCTAATGTTTAGGATTCTTAAAATTTGTGTTTTAAAAAAAATCAACTTATTTTACTATTTGTTTTTAAATTACAAGAGGAAGGGTTTTTAGGCTGCTATTTGCAAGGAGTCCTCCCAAAATAATACGTGATGGGTTCACAGTATCATTTTCAACAAACTAAGAGAGAGTTTGACTGTAATGATCACTGTATCTTCTCTTTTTGACATTGGTTTATGAAGTGTTAGTTGACACCCTGATGTGCTGTTTGAACGTTTTGACCTGATAAAGGTAACTTACAGATCAAGGGAAGGATATTCCTAGGCAAACTTACAGAATCATAATTTTATGTACCTTATTAACTTAGTGTTCATCATCAGTGTTTTCTGTCTTAAACTTCAGATCCATTGTGGGAATACTTTAAATGTTATATGGCAGTATTTTAAACTTCAGAGCAAAACAACACAGGTGTGTAGTGTTTCGCTCAGGAATGAATCAGTCGAGCTCTCAGGTCTTAAGCATGCCGTGATCTTGGCTATGCACGCTCAGTTGACAGGGACTTACAGTCTGGAAAAGGATTCTGTTTTTAAAGAGAGAAAGAGTAAAATAATTATTTTATCTATTGATTAAAATAAAGGAATGGAAAACAGATACCTGTTTCTGTCAGCCTTCTACCTTTATCTGAGGGGTCCCTCTAAGCACTTTAAACCCTGAGGTAGTTTCTGAACCACAGGTTTGAAAACCTGGATTTAGTTTAATGATACCTTTCTGATAACTTATTTCCAGAAATTTACACAATATTTTTAATATTTAATATTGTACAAAATGTTTTTAATGAACCAACAAAAACTCCTTCAGCAGCACAATGTATAATATAGGGCTCTTCACCTAATGGCCCCTCTTAATAAGGGCCACAGGCACTTGATATCTATAGAAATAAATGGTTTAATGAATTCTCACTTGAAAAATACATACATGTATTAGACTTTCCTGTTTGTCGGGTAAACTGGAAGAAGAAAAATAACATTGTAAACTAAAGATGGCTTTGGAATATTTTTTAAATATTTGACCATATGTGTATTGATATTACAAGTTATGTCGCATTCTTTGTTTTTTCTTATTTTTCCTCCGTCTTTAGCTACACAGTCTCATCAGTGGTATTCTTGGGGCCCACCTAATATGCAGTGTAGGTTATGTGCAACCTGTTGGCTCTATTGGAAAAAATACGGAGGCCTAAAAATGCCCACCCAGTCGGAAGAGGAGAAGTTACCTCCCAGCCCAGCTACAGAGGTACACAAGCAATAGTCTTTTTAGTGTTGAGAAATGTAGTGTTTTTCAGCGCCTGGATCATTCCTTGGAAACAGAAGTACAGTATAGGATAAGTTAAAAGCAAACAAAGCTATTATAGCTAAATGTAGTACTGAAACGTTGAGGGTGGGTATGGAGATAGGGGCAGGGACAAATCCAGTTTTTTCAGGTATTCAAAGTATCGGTCTTGAGAGATTACTCAAAAGAAGAACAATGTGTGTGGGAGGTGTTAGCACGAGTAGAGAGCTTACAAATTAAATACTGGTTTTAATGGCTTTTTTGGAAACAGTTTGCAACCTTTCGGTACTGTTGAAAATGTGTTTTCTTGCATAAAGTAATAAATACAAACTGAGCATTCTTTCTGTCCCTGGGCTATCGTAGGAGGGACAAGAAGGCATGGGCTCAATCTTGAGGTGAACAACAGTTAAAATATGATTTTGGTAAAATTCTCATAGATGGCAGGTATCAAGCACCTATGTCTACCAGAGGGAGGTTGTTCTTTTTGAGAGCTAGCAAGATTTAAGGACCCCCTTCGATATTTTTTTTTTTTAAAATAGTCTCTCCTCTGGCAATTTTTTACTGTTGTGATTTTGGATTGTTAAGGTCAATTTAGGAGAAAAAATATATAGGATCACAGACACCCTTACTTCCACCCAGTTTCCTTCTCTACTCCCCACCTCCTACTCCAAAGTACATACTTTTAAATTCTCTCCCCCGTAATAAGTTATAGATTCTTCAGCGAAAGACTTAAAAACTGCGCTTTTCTTTGAACAGGATGCAAGGAGTTTTTTTTTTTATGCTTCCCTAAAAATATATTCTTTTTTTTGCTTTACATCTTTATTGGAGTATAATCGCTTTACAATGGTGTGTTAGTTTCTGCTTTATAACAAAGTGAATCAGTTATACATATACATATGTTCCCATATCTCTTCCCTCTTGCGTCTCCCTCCCTCCCACCCTCCCTATCCCACCCCTCTAGGTGGTCACAAAGCACCGAGCTGATCTCCCTGTGCTATGCGGCTGCTTCCCACTAGCTATCTACCTTACGTTTGGTAGTGTATATATGTCCATGCCTCTCTCTCGCTTTGTCACAGCTCACCCTTCTCCCTCCCCATATCCTCAAGTCCATTCTCTAGTAGGTCTGTGTCTTTATTCTTGTCTTACCCCTAGGTTCTTCATGACATTTTTTTTTCTTAAATTCCATATATATGTGTTAGCATATGGTATTTGTCTTTCTCTTTCTGACTTACTTCACTCTGTATGACAGACTCTAGGTCTATCCACCTCATCACAAATAGCTCAATTTTGTTTCTTTTTATGGCTGAGTAATATTCCATTGTATATATGTGCCACATCTTCTTTATCCATTCATCCGATGATGGACACTTAGGTTGTTTCCATCTCCGGGAGGAGTATTATATTTTGACAAGTTCTGTTCTTTACATGTTTGTTGGTGTCTGATTTTATAGGACCCTCGAGTTCGAAGTCACATGTCTCGCCAGGCCATGCAGGGGATGCCGGTCCGAAACACTGGGAGCCCAAAGTCTGCAGTGAAGACCCGTCAAGCTTTCTTCCTTCACACTACATATTTCACAAAATTTGCTCGTCAGGTCTGCAAAAATACCCTCCGGCTGCGGCAGGCAGCAAGACGGCCGTTTGTTCCTATTAATTATGCTGCCATTAGGGCAGAATGTAAGATGCTTTTAAATTCTTAACCTTATATGTTGTGCTTCTGACCATTTCCTCTCTTTCCCTCTCTCTCTCTTTTTGTTTTTGTTTGCAATAAACATAAGTTCTTGTGTACAGCCTTTTATTTGGTTTATTTTTTTTTAACATTGTTTTGTCTGCTGCCATTTGTATAATGCCAACCTGAAAACATTGAAACTTCTGCAGTCTTTATGAGAAAGCAGTGCTCAGCAAAAGATTGGTGGGAGGTGATCCTATCCAGTGGGGTTTTGTGATGGAATTACCTGAAAGCCCTTATCGAAGAGGGATTTTTACCTATAAGGTAGAATAAAATTTGCCAATTTACACTAATGAGAAATTGTATGTCTTTGTAAACTTCTCAATTTCCCACAAACCTTTTACAATTATCATACAATATTCTGGAAATTCACAGTGTTTCATAACAAATTAGAAGATTTAGCAAATTATAAATGAATTTTAAAGTTTTTTGGGTGAATTTTCTGAAAAACACATTTAATTTTTACAAGCTAGTGTCTGAATTTGTGGTTGAGCATTCTTTCTATTTGTCCAGTTTGATTTCCATTTCATAATCATATACCATATACATTACTACATAACATTTACATGACTTTATTACTCATTATCAACACATTCAGTCTTGCTTATGTTTTTTTGTTGTTGTTAGAACAAAGGTCATATGTACCGATGAATTGCAGGTTGTTCTGTTATTACCATGTACCCCTAAATGTGTCCATAATTTGTGTGTGAACTCTGATTCTAAGTCTTGCTACTTTTAGTTACATTCCTGTTTAGCATGTTAGAGCCATGAAACTTTTTTTCCCTATGGGATGAGAAAACTTGCTGTCTGGCTTAACAGGTAGGAAATCTTAAAGACATTCAGTAGATAACTCTATCTGTGAGATAAGAAATTTCTTATTATGAGATGTTCCATTTTGATTTAAAGAGGGTATCTGTAAAAGGAGTGATGATTGAAAAGTGTTTTTTGTTCCTAAAGATAATTTTCAACAGAACAGTTGAAAGGCTTTAAAACTTACAGGTAAAAGCTTTATAAGAAGAAGAAAAGTGCTTTGTAAAGTGAGTAGAAATTGGAAGTAATCTCTGCGTCCCATGGAGGGGAAACTTAGCTACATGAAACTCATGTATATGTGAGAACTTAGGCATGTATATTGAGGTTTTGTGCTAGCATTTCTGAGTTCATGGATTTATGTTACCACTTTCTTACCATTTTAAGGAACTAGAAAATATTTATGTCCATGAATATACGGCTTAGCTGATTTAAAACATATACGCTTATATATAAGTTATTAAATATAAAAAATAAAAAACACATGAGAAAGAAAGTGAATGAAATTCTTCCATTAAAACTGGCCAGGCTCCAGGATCATCTTTGTTGCTATGAGTGGAAAAGAAACTATCACCAACTAAATTGGCTTCTGAGGAAGCTTCTGTTTCTCATTAAGCTTCTGTTAATTTCTCAGTTAATTTGCACATTGTTTTATTTTGATGATTCTTCAATGAAGTATGTTTTTGTGTCACCTTATTTTAATTTTTCTCAGTTAAAAGGCCATGCTACTATAAAAGAGTCGAGATTAAATTACCTGTATTTTATTTCTACAAACATATATCTATAATAATAATGGTAATAAAAGAACAGACTCCTTTGTTGTGATGAGAGTCAAGGAGCATATTTTATTTTGTATTTAGCTTCATTGGTCAAGTTACACATAGAATCAGATTCTCAGAATAATTTTACCTGGAAATTTAAAACTATAAAGTTTCAGCAGCCACCTACTCAGTCCCAGTCCCCCCACCCAGCAAGCAGCTAATGAACTCTTTTCCTAGCATCTAATTGCTTCTTGCATTATCTTCTCCCTTCTTATATTTGTACCTTGTCACAACCTCTTTAGCAGATTCCTTGATCTTGGCTTGTTAGCAAGATTAGGTGTTAATAACCCGATGTCTGTATGCAACCATGTTTATGGTCCAGGGGGAGGTTAAAGCTGTATTTGTTTTTTTGGTTTTTTTGGTAAGCTTTCCTTGGTTTCTCAAAGGCATTGGTGACCCTGTCCCTCCCCCCAAAAGTTAACAATCTCCGTGATGGTGAATGACTTTCAGATCAGGTGAAAGTTTGTAATTCTAAAGATATTGATGGATCAAGAGCTCCAATTAATGCATTTAGAATAATTCTCTATAATATTGGAAAAGGAAACTAGTTTTGCCTGTGAACTTGAGAATCTTCCTCTTATAAGAAGTATAGAAGTCGACCCCTTCCATGGCTCCTGGCCTTGGCAGCAACACCACAGCCAGTATCACAGCCAGAGTTGATGGGGTATCAGACTACAGAAGAGTGAAGAAGCGGGGAACTGAGGAGATAAATTCTCAGTTACATGGGGGAGAGCAGAGTCATAACTTTCAGATGTCAACTTACAAGTTAATCCTTGTTTAGAGGAAGTTTTGTTTTTTTTTTTAATTTGTTACAGCAGTGCTCTCTGGCCTTTATTTTCACTAAGAAACCGGTGTTAAGGAATACAGTATAGTGAGCAGGGGAATCTTTGTTTGCTTGTCCATGAAGCATCGCAGGAAAATGTAAGAAGTAATATCTTTGGGAAGGGAAACTGGGAGGCTGAGGGAAAAGGGTGGGAAGGAGACTTACCACTATTCATCCTTCTAAACTTTTCGATTTTGAGTCATAGGAATATATTTCCTATTAAAAAGTCATGGGAATATATTTCCTATTAAAAATTTTTTTAAAACTTGAAATAACTATACACTAGGACCAACATGTGTTTTATAGATATAGATATAGATGTTAAAAATGACTGTTAAAACCAAATCCCAAATACCTATTTATTTGAATGGTATACCTTTGTATGTAAATATGTAAGTCCATGCGAAAAATTGCTAACATCAGTACAGTGCCTGAGCCAGTTCTACCATGTAGATAGTGCTTAATAAAAATGGATTGCTAGACCAAAACCCAAAACGTTGCATAAAGAAAAGTACGATGTCCTTGACAAGATTTGCAGACCAACTGCATGGTTGTAACAGCATCAAGTTTCAGACAGCCTGCCCCTGCTTCCCCTTGACACCCCTCCCCTCATTAAAAAAAGCCATAATATAATGATGATGGTTTTCCTCCTTTGTTACTATCATGAGACTTTACCACTGAGTTACTGGATGACTGATGTGTCAAAGATCTGTAAAATCACCCAACACCTGATGAGCACAGGGCTTCTATTTGAGACTCAAGATCCAGAGACTAAGGTTAAGTAGAAGTAGTATATTAGCAGCATTTCAGAGATGAAGCAAAGGTCCCCAGAGAAATGGATCCAAATGACTTACCTGCCCCCTCTGTAGCTTGCATGGATAATTAAGTATTTTCTGGGTTGATAACACACGAGACTTGAATGACAGCACCATTCCCCAGTATGAATGTTTTCAAGGGATCCGTGGAGCCCTTTTTTTCTGTTTGAAGATGCTAAATCAACTTCAGAAGTATTATCCCAAGGGCCCATATTCAGAAGAAGAAACTTGTTATATATTTTATGAGATTTCTAGAGGTTTCTCAGTGAAAGTTACTGTTAATAATTGTATAAAGTTTTGTGAAATTTTAAGTTCTAACATTAGGAGAACAGTTTTGGCTTGTTTATTTTGGTAGTTTATTATTTTAATAAAAATTTGTCTCTGGATACTTAAAATTTTTTTAAAGGTACGAAAGTAGTTACAAATCTTAACGCCATTCCCATTCCTACCTCTTAGAGGTAACCATTGTCATCAGTGTCTGAAGTATCCAGAGACATCCTGTGTATCTCTAAGAAACTAAGTAGGTGTATTTTTTGTTTTTGTACAGACGTTAATGTCTACATTGTTCTGCACCTTGCCTTTTTTACTTAACGTATCTTGGAGGCCATACCAGTACATTGAGAACTACGTCCTCTTTTTTGTGTGTGGGGGGGTGATTTTCTTTCTTTTTTCTTTAAAGTGTATTTATTTATTTTTGGCCACGTGGCATGCAGGATCTTAGTTCCCCAACCAGGGATTGAACCTGTGCTCCCTGGATTGGAAGTGCAGTCTTAACCACTGGACTGCCAGGGAAGTCCCACCTCCTTTTTTTATCAGCTGCCTAATAGTCTATCTTGTACTTGAGCCAGTACTTCTCCTATTTAAAAAAAAATTACGTTGTTTCCAATCCCTTTCTATTACAAGTAGTGTTGCAACAAATATACAGATATCATTTAAGACTGATGTATGGGGCTTCCCTGGTGGCGCAGTGGTTGAGAGTCCGCCTGCCGACGCAGGGGACAACGGTTCGTGCCCCAGTCCAGGAAGATATCACATGCCGCGGGGCGGCTAGGCCCGTGAGCCCTGGCCGCTGAGCCTGCGCGTCCGGAGCCTGTGCTCTGCAACAGGAGAGGCCACAACAGTGAGAGGCCCACGTACCGCAGAAAAAAAAAATGATGTGTGAAATGTGCATGTAGCTGCTTACAGGTTAAATCCCTAAGAGTAAAACATCTGTGTCAAGCAACTTCCATTCTGAATTTTGATAGTTACTGCCCAGTTGCCCTCAGAAAAACTATGATTTACACTCCCACCAGTGTCTAGAGAGTGCCTGCTTCTCTAGAACCTTGCCAGCAGTGTTACCCATCTCTGAAACCCTTAACTAGTTGACAGGTGACATGTAAGTTATATTAGCTTGCATTTCTCATTTTGAATGAGGTAGAAAATTTTGCATATATTTGACAACCATTTGTATTTCCCTTTTTGTCAACTGTTTTTGCCCCTGGCCTGTTTTCTATTAAAAGTCTTACTGACTCATGGGAACTTTTTATATTTTAAGGAAGTTAGCTCTTGATCTGTAATGCAAATATTTCCCCCATTTTGTCTTTGATTTTGTTGACGTATTTGCCAAGCAGATTGTTTTAAGTAGCTGAATTTATCTTTTTTTAAAAATTTTTTTAATGGCACATGTGTTTTATGTCTTGTTTAGAAATGCCTTTATAATTCCTATAAGAAAATTCTATGGATGGTTTTACTTTGATAGCAGTTTTGAAGACCCATGTGAGATATTTTTGTGAATTTTAATTCAGTATGTACTTTCTGCAAATTTTCTGTTTTATTTTCCCTTCTAATATTTCCAAAACATTTTAGAAAGATAGCCATGAGTTGCAAAAAAAAGATAACTTTTTCCAGGTTTACCTCAGGGAGGTATAGCTCATCCTCTAGGAGGCCAGGGAAATATGCCTCGTGCTCAGTCAAGCCATTTGAGTGAGGTGAAAATGCTCTCCCTCCGGCCAGATTTTGATTCCTTCTGGTTTCTTCGGGCATTTCTCAGGTTGCTTTCTTTACCTGTGTGCTTTTAATGGGTACTAATTAATTATCTCTTTAAATATAGTTAGGTGAATAATTTGAGAGCAAGGTACCACTGGCCTGGTCTTGAGTACAGACCAGGATTCTTTTTAAGCAACTCAAATGTGGACCTGATCATCTATGTTTATGATCATTTCTTCCGGACAGAAACTATTTTTTTCTCTTTATATTCGGTATAATCACTGAATGGATGCAATTTTTATGTTAAACAGTCATGCGGTAGTCTTAGCACCCACCTTTCATCCTAATTTATTCACAGTTGAGACTGATAGTTCTTGCCACCAACTACTTCCTATAAAATATAATGAAGATTGATGAAATATGGATCCTTCTAAAAAGCTTTGATCTCCCACTCAGGTGCTCTGTAAATTCTCACTTGGAACATGACATAATTAATCCTACTAATTTAGTGAGAAATTAAAAGCAGATTAATATAAAGTGAAATGTCTATGGGTATTGTGTTGGTGACTCCTTTGATGGGTATGTTGATCATTGTCAAGGTGACAGTCATGTGGGAGTTCATCACTTGAAGTCACATTGGCAGTTTTCCTTTGGGCCTTATAGACTGGAATAAAGAGCAAAGTTAATCTTACTACTAGTAATACAGTAATGGTTTTTGTCCAAAACATTGAGCAAATACTAAGATGATTCATTCAAGCTTTATTTTATTAATAGAAAATAAATTTCTTCTCTTGTCCTCTTCCTAAGCAGAACTTGAATTTTTGGTGAATTAGTAATATTAGGAAGGAATTATTACTGTTAGCACACAGTGATTTGACAGGTGTTTGATCCTTGCAGGGTTTGGGCTGCTTTTTAATGTTTGTTTAGATTACTCCTCCAAAATACGCTTATTATATTTCTGACTGTATCTTCACTATTATTCAATAACAGGTGAAAAGCTTCATAATAGCTTAGTAATTTTTTTTTGCTCAAAGGAAATCAGCTGAGTAGGAGGAAAAGAAACTGGACCATTTATAGTTGTCAAGTGGTTGCATAGTAATTAGCCAGTGCTTGGGATATATATTCAGATTCCAGGCTGTCTGCAGTTTGTGCTTTGTCTATTTCAATATTTTTAAATGCTGCTTTCCCACCTTTTCCTGTTTAATAGTTATTGGAAAAGAGTTTCCTTGTTGAGAGGGCTAGAGCTAATGAAAAAGTTAATTTTTAATTTAAAATCATTTGAAGTTCCAGATTGAATTATACATTTTAACGCTAATAGTGCAGAGAATCCCTGTGGATGTCAAAGAAAATTTCCTGTATGTAGGCCTAGAAATGTGGTCTCAGCCACAGAAAATCTATAGGATAGTTTTGTCAAAAATGTGAGGTGGGAAAAGGCATAAACATAGCAGAATCATATCTGCTAAAGCTACTCTGTTAAGCTTTATGACAGTATCTGCAAATTTAAAAAACATTTCAATACACATTGTTTTTGTTGCTTCAGACTCCACTGCTTAACTCTTTGGTATGAGAGGCAGCCATGTTTCACATCTACTCTTCCATCTAATGAGAGCTTAAAAATTAAAACGCAGAGAGTGTTTGTGTTGTGTGCTTTATTTTTCTCTGAACTGTTTTATGGTAGGGTATGAGGAATGTGATGTGACCTCTATGAACTAACATCCATCACAGTACTTTACTATTCTGACTATTGGATAAAATACCTGTCTGCATACAGGTAACCTTTTAAATCTCAGCACTAATGACATCACAGTAGGATATGAAGGCTAGAATACTAGTGATAAAACCAAATGACCCATTTTTACTTTTGAGAAGCTCTAATCTAATGGAATAGAATTTAATCGCGATAGATGAAGACTCCTCCATAGAGACCCACTCCATCTAGGTCAGGGATGGTCAAGTGTGTTGCCTTTGTCATTTTTGTCTTCCATGCCAGATTTATCCTCCATTAGGACTGATAACACCTCATACTTTATGGAAGCTTTTCTACTATAAGTTAGAAATGCCATGGCTATTTTACAGATGAGCATGCACAGAAAGAAAGCATGTGCATGTAAGATGTGTGTTAGCTACATTCATAAGGGACTTTAAAGTGAGTATTCTCCAGGTAAAATCCCATTCAGTAATTTGAACCAGAACTGAAAACGGTTTTCTTAAGCCCCAAAGGAAATTATGGAGGAATCTGGCAGATTTTTTGCACTGTTTTCCACTTGCACATTTTATTTCTGCGGTGTATGTAGCATAGGCAGAGAAATCAGCCTCATTGGTTGTCTCCGTGTTTCTCTTTCTCCTCAGATGCAGACAGACATGCGGACCTATCTGGAAGTCCACTGAAAAGCAAAAGCACTAGGAAACCTTTGGCATGTATCATTGGGTATTTAGGTGGGTATTTCCTAACAGAAGAAAAACTCAACAATTTCTGTATCTTATAATCGGCTATTCAAAATTGACATACCTAAATTAAATGCAAGCCTTTCAAGTAGCTGCAATTGGATACCTTCATATATATAGTCAATTTATTTTATTTCAGAAACTTATTTTTATTACCAAAACACACAAAACATACAGAGATATAGATAGGTTTACTTTTTCTGAAAATATCATTGAATAAAAATGTAATGTATATTTATGGATATAAATACAGATTAAGCAAAAAGGGGAAAATAAGAATCACTAAATTATTAGAGGATGAATTTTTTTTTTAACTGAAGTATAATTGACTTACAATGTTATATTAGTTTCAGGATCACCACATAGTGATCTGCCATTTGTACACATTACAGGATGATCACCGTGATAATTCTAATTACCATCTGTCACCATTCTAGGTTATTATAAAATTAACGATGAATATTCTTAATATTTTTATTTAGATCCTTCCACTATTTCAAACCCACCTCACCCCTCCCCTTAAATAGAGAAAGATTGGTTTATTTACTTTTTTTAAAAAAAAAACCAGATAAAACTGGCTTTTAACCCACCTTTAAACAATATTTATAGTTTTAATGTGCCAATTAAGGTTACTTGAAAGGAAAGCATTAGTATTGCTTTCTGGTTTTTATCATGTTATTTAACTTGGAAGTCGCCAAAGATGATGGTTCCATTTACATTTTGAAATATAATTAGGAATAGTATAAAATTACTAGGCAATAAGCTTTTTTTTTGGAAAGTTTTAAGATAAATAATTTACAAAATAATGACTGCTAAAATGGTTCCTACTATACCTAGAAGCTATAATGGCATGTTTTTATGCTTCTGATATTCTTGCTTTTTCATCTTCTCAGTAAAAGTGAAGTATGTTCTCAGAGTTGCATTGAACCTTATTACTTATATTTGTGAAAGATTTATATTTGTGAAGTGTTCAGACTTAAGACATCCAGTCTTTTAAAAAAAGAAAGATTTATATTTGTGAAGCGTTCAGACTTAAGACATCCAGTCTTTTAAAAATCAAAGTGTAGCCTTAAAGTTGGTATATTATCTGGTCCTCATCAGAGCATCCTAGGAGTCAGAAGTGCATAGCTCCTTCGTTGATGTTATTTTGCCACCTTTTTTCCTGTTTTATTCCTCAGGGCCTAAAGAGTTGCTTTGATAGCCCCCCAAAATATCACATGGTTATCACAGGCACGACCTAGCTCATGGTGATCAAATCCTTGAAGTTTGCTATCTGTGTTCCCTTGCAGGGCCTAATCCTAGAAGCCCCTCCCACCTTGCAAGGGAACGTTTATGATCATAAAAAATAGAATATAATTGCATATTAGTCAGCATTTCCATAGGTAATTATGTGTTCCTGCTATGGGCAAATTGGTTTCTGTGTCTACCAGATAAGCCCAAAGCAGTGCTGTCCTTACTAACTGAACCACTTCCCTATATAACATATTTCTGAGTATTTACTATGTACAAGACACTTCACTAAGTGATTTGGGGAACACCAAGATGAATACAACCTTGCCCTCAAAAATCTTCAAGTAGCAGGGAAGGCACACAGGTGAGAACAATTGAGCAAAGGATTAGATCCTATAAACGAATTACAGGTAATAAGCATTGGGCACTTGGAGGAAGGGATAGTTATTTCTGATGGGAGTTAGGGCAACTTATGTGAAGAAAGTAATAGTTGATCTCAAGCTTGAAAAATAGGTAGTATTTGAATAGATAGAATGTTTTTCCCCTTATGAGGCCACGAGAACTAGATGAACAAAGGTGCTTGAAAATCGGATCAAGGAAGGCAGGTTTTCTGGTCCTGATGGAGCATAGCGTATGGAGGTTGTGATGAAATATGAGGTTGGCAAACCTTCAATACCATGTTGAAAAAAAAATCAGCACTGTAATTTGGTTAGTACCTGATCCATTCCTAAATTTCAGCAAGTGTAGGATTTTGACCAGACCAATACTCCTAACAGCCCTTCCTAAATTTCAGTAAATAAGGCTGATATCCTGGCCCTCACCTGGGAAGACAGGGTGGCTTGTGCATGATTGGCATGTTGGGTAGTGACTCAGAATCAGTGAGCAGGTTTAGCTTTAGAGAAGAGGTTGCCTGGTAGACTGAGGTCCTTAAATCCAATTGCTACAGTGTTGCAATTTCTGTCCATCTACTGACAACTACATACTTCACATAAACACACATGTACCATATGCACATTACAGTTTTGTGATATATCCTCTGTCAAAGTTTTCTTCTTCTGCTTTTTTTTTTTTTTTTGGCCATGCCACGCGGGACCTTAGTTCCCTGACCAGGGATCAAACCCAGGGCCCAGCAGTGGAAGTGCAGAGTCTTAAATCACTGGACCACCAGCGAAGTCCCATCGTCTGCTACTTCTTAACTCTAGTATTTGGAGTTTGGTGTCAGATTTCATCTATATCAAATTGTTTTTCGCTGGGAGTGATTGACCCTGGTCCTGTATCCTAGTTGCAGAGCCAGAGGAGGAATCCTGTTTTTTCAGAAAGCTCTCACACACCAGATGTGCTACATGCTATCTATGTTCCTGGTTTGATGGAGCACAAGGGTAGTTTCCTTTAAGGCTACCTCTCCAGATAGCCTTTGAATTTCTAATTCCTTGAAGAGTCAGATGCCTTATTCCCCTCATAAATCTCATGTTTAAGTGACCTTCTGAAGTGGCTTTTTTCTTTTTTTTTTTGTCTTGTACTCAACAACGTGAAGCTCAGAGCTTCAGCTAGCAGGGGCAGAACCAGCTCCCTTTTGATAAATAAAGCCATGGTAACAGCACTTGAAGTTGATTCATTATGCAAGTACTTGGGAAAATAAGCTGGTTCATAAGGAACTGGCTCTTAGCTCATTAAGAAATAAGAATAAGATGTGTGCCTATTAGCCGATATAAGTGCACACAGATTTTTAATACCACGTTCTGAGTTGAGAAACCTTTCTTCCCCCTGTCAGAGATCCATCCTTCGAAGAAACCTAATGTAATTCGATCTACACCAAGCCTACAAACCCCAGCTACCAAGCGGATGCTCACCACCCCGAATCACACGTCTCTGAGCATTTTGGGGAAAAGAAACTACAGTCATCACAATGGCCTGGATGGTATGTAAGCCCAGGAATTCTGGGGGCTGATCCCGTAGGCAGGGCTTCTCTGCCCTTGCCTGCTCCCGAGTGTTGTCTGCCACGTCCAGGAGTGTGTAACAAACAGGTTCTTCTACGCCCTGATTGAACTGTGTGGGAAGGGGGATATGAGGGAAGGCTGCCATGGGCCACAGGGAAGACATGTTGCCAAGTGACATTTCTCCATCTCCTCAGAAGGGACCTTTTGGTTCACATTTCCTGTTAGGAGGCTTGTTTGAAAATGAAGTCTGTATTTAGCAGTTGCCTCTTCTGGGCGATAATGCTCTTGCTGTGATGCACACTCACTGCTCCTATATGTTTTCTTGAGCAGAAGGGATTATTTCGCCTTATGTCTGAGACAGCAGTGCTGTCTGGGGGTTCTTCAGTGTTCTGTGGATCATTTTAAATTTGGCATTTGTCCCTGACTTCTTTCACCTTATAAATGTTCTTAATTGCTCAAGAGTACTACAAGTCACGAAAAGAATTGCATGGTTGATGTCTTAAATACAGAGAGAATAATTTGTTTGAAATGGAAAAACTGAGAGATATCACCTCTTATGCAAAGTGCTTCTCTTGGGCTTGGCCATATAATGGCTCTTCAGGTGGAACTGAATTATCTTCCCATTCAGACTATAAACACAAGTGTAACAAATCATCCAGGCAGTATATATTGTTGATCTCAATATTCAGTATTGAATTTCAATATTCAATATTGATTTCAACTCCTGGAGTTTGAAGATGTCTTGATTGTTTAAATGTTGGCATTTATTTATGAATAAAACTGTCTCCAGGCTTTTCATGCCTTGTGGGACTCTAAATTCCTTCATTGACAGTAAATTATTTATAACGAGGCCGTGGAGCAAGGATGTGGAATAGACCTTCTAGTAATAATTTCCCATGGTTATTTTCCTTCAGTATGACTTTTGATAGTTATGGTGATGTCAAAATGAATAAAAAATTGAGGGTGAAGAGTTTAGTTTGCATTTATAGGATATCAATGTGTTGTAGATTTAATTCTCCTCTCTAGGTCTCATTTTTCTTAATCACTTTCATTTATTCAACCAACGTTTATTGAGCACCCACCAAGTTCCAGGCACTGTGCTTTCAAGAATTTAGCTACACAGTAGTTTTGCAGAAATACTTCCTTGCTAATGAGAACATCGGCCATCCTTGCCTCGATATGCCTGATGTCTAGTCAGAAGAAGTCCAAGGAAGGATTGTGTCAAACTGTGGAGATTGGATTTCTTTCCAGCTTTTCCTTGCCCACAGCGTGGGACCTTTAGGTTCAGGCTTAAATGGAATAAAGAATCTTTCTTTTCCATCTTATCACCTCCCTGGACTGTCTAGGTATATAGTCCTACTGCAGAAAGTAAGTTCTGGTTTATTTGATATTTATATATTCTTTATGGTAAAAAGACTCTCGCTGTGACTGATGCTGGAATGCAGCTTTCTACTATCTTTCTCCACTCACACCTCATGGTCATGGTCATTCTGGGCCCCAGTCCTACTCCTGCATTGCAGCTCCTTTTGTTCTTTCCTTGTATCACAGGAACCTGTCTCTTTGGAATTTCTAAAAAATGCCATTATGTAGTGTTTCCTCTCTAGGGCTGTTTGTCCCATTTCCTTCTGAATGAATACTTTTGCGAGGTCATTGCTTCTCTGCTCTGAACAGGAGGAATGGACAGGGCACACAACGAATCCCTGGTGTTATGTTGACTGAATCCTTCAGCCTTGTTGAGGAACAGACACTTGTCTCATTTTCTGAAGAGACCTAGATGTTACACTTTTTTCAAAACCCATTTGTCTTTGCTCCCCTGTCATGGTACAGAGAGGAAGGCTGCTGACATGTGCCTTACCTGCATTATCTCATCTGATTCCGTTGACAGAAGGTTTCAGGTCAGGGGACTTAACTGTTTTGCATAACATGGTATCTCTACTGCCTGGCACAGTGCCTGGAACTTGGGGGGTGCTCAGTAAATGTTAGTTGAATAAATGAAAGTGATTAAGAAAAATGAGACCCAGAGAGGTGAATTAACTCTTCCAGAGTTACCAAGTACTCCGTAAATGGGTTGGGGTTCCCATCCAGGTGTGACTGATTTCAGAGTCTGCTCTTTTTTTTTTTTTTTTTTTTAATTTATTTATTTTTGACTGTGTTGGGTCTTCATTTCTGTGCGAGGGCTTTCTCTAGTTGCAGCGAGCGGGGGCCACTCTTCATCGCGGTGCGCGGGCCTCTCACTGTGGCGGCCTCTCTTGTTGCGGAGCACAAGCTCCAGACACGCAGGCTCAGTAGTTGTGGCTCACGGGCCTAGTTGCTCCGTGGCATGTGGGATCTTCCCAGGCCAGGGCTCGAACCCGTGTCCCCTGCATTGGCAGGCAGATTCTCAACCACTGCGCCACCAGGGAAGCCCCAGAGTCTGCTCTTTTAACCACTGTTATAAATGAAGTTGAGGCTCTCAAACGTGCTGTATTAGTCAGCAAGGTAGAAACTACATAAGTTATTTTAACAGCTCTTGTAATATCAGAAATCAATATGACAGATATTGAAGGACAGAATAGGTAAATGGGGAGCATGGGCTGGGGGACAGGAAACAGCCACCATCACTAGAGCTGTGAGAGCAAAAGGGACAAGTTGGGGTTATCACAGCTAGAAGCCCAAAGAGCTGGAACTCAGACCCTTGAGGAAAGGGCGCTGCTCTGTCGGTGCTGGCATCACTCAGAAAGTGTGATGCGGCTGCTTCTGGGCGTGTGAAGACAAGCTGGGGACCGACACACACTGCTGCTGCTCCTCGGGGTGATGCTGGCAGGAGCAGGAAGGAGCAAGCCTCTTGCCTTGTAGGTGCCCTCGGGCACCCCCTGCTGGTGCAACAGGGATCTGGATGGCAGACCTGAAATGGATTTACAGAGTCCCAACCCCACCCAGAATCGCAAAGCTGAGTTTAAGTGGACGGACGTGGAGCTGAGAGGCAAAAGTGGAACAGAAACACATATTTTAGAAAATGTCCCCATTTTTGTATTCCCTGTGGACCTTTTCCTTGGGATAATTCATCTGTTTCTTGTTTCCTCAGGATATAAGATCCTGACTAACGTGAGTTTCCAAGGTGAACTCAAAGTACTAGAAAAAAATGTTAGGCTAATAGTGAGTTTTCATGGGAGAGTTAATACCATTATACACTGGAATTGGTAGGTACAAATTCATGGAAGAGCTTTGCCCTGTGTGATCCAATAATAAAATCAGTTAGCACTGCTGTAATTATCAGCATGTCAGACAGATGAGCACACCAAACAGGATGTTGGTGGGCAGAACTAATCTAACTGGAAGCAAAGCCTGATTGTACTGAGATATCCAGGTCTCTCAGCTTTAGGGCTTCCTGTCCCCTTAGCAGCTTGCCCCCTTTGCTCAGCCTCCACCCTCAGTTGGAGGTTCTTCATAATGGGAAGAGAGTCTCTGGATTTCTGCTGGTAGAAAGGATTTTACCTGACATTTAAAAAAAAAAAAAGATGGACAGCTCCTTCTTATCTTCTGAAACTCACTGTCTTTCACCTGGCCCTGGCCCTGGTCCTTTAAAGGCCCTGGTATGACTGGGGGCTGGAAGTCAGCACTCTGTGTCCTCTGAACCTGTGGCACCCAGCCACACACAGGCCTCTGTGAATGGAGCTTAAATTCCAAGGGTAAAAAACAAAACCTGCATACACAAGAAGCCTCATTTTTTGGAGTCAGTGTAGACTTACCCAGGTCCGTATCAGTCCCCCAACTTTCAGCCTTTCCTGTCAGGCTGTAGGTCCAGTGGTGTGCACATGCTTTCCAAATCCTGTCTCCTTTTCTGACTTACAGATGCTTTGATGACATTCCTAATGCCAGCCAACCAAGTATCTACCACATTTGGCTGACTTTGGCTAACACCAGGTGGCTGTGAAGAGAGGAGGCCCTGAGATCAGTGGGGATAGAAGAGGCATTACTTTCCATGTCTGAGAGCCCAAAAGGGAGGGCAGCAGGGGAGGTGGAATTTGTCTGTGCCATGGAAGAAAGCACATCTGACTGTTCAGAGTCAGAAGGGATTAATTGCTGTCTTCTCTGATCATTTCCTACGTGGCTTTGGGTAAATCACTTGGTTTCCTTAACCTTTTTTTTTTTTTCCCCTCTTCCGTAAAGTACAGATTTCATTTGCCTTAACGGTGTTGTTATAATGATTAAAAATTTTCACCTACTTTACACCACTTGATCTTCCAAACACTTTATGAGGTAGGTGTTATAACCTGCATTTTAATAATGAAAAAATCTGAAGCTCAAAGAGATGAAGGGATTTGCCCAAAGTCACACTGCTAGCAAGTAGCAGAGATGAGATATAAACTCCAAGTCTAAGGTTGTTTCCACTGGGTAAATAAGCATCCCTGATCTGTGTGTTGAGTACAGCACGTACCTGGGAGATGTTTCTGTTTTCTGTGTATCGGAGATGGGTTTGTGTCTGCAAATATAGAGAGGAATGTAGAGCAATTTTTCTTTGCTCAGACTGCGAAGTGTAAGCCATTATTGTCTAATCAAAGCCGTCACCTCCATCTCCTGCCTCTGTGAAGCTCCTCTGCCCATATCGTACCCCCTCCTTTTTCTGGAACTTAGGGGATAGGAGCTATATTAGTGTCAGAGAGAGGGGAGAAAAAAGTAATAGAGAAAAGCCACAATCACTTAAAGGTGAGATGTGTTTCAATTAAATTATATGATATTCCCAGCATTGACTCTGACACATAGTAGGTGTTCATTAAGTGTTAAGATTCCATCCCCTCCTTTAAAGAAGAACTATTGTTAATGTTCTATTTTGAAAATTGTTACAATATCAATCAAAGTTTTTTTAGTCATATGTGAATTGTATATAAATAAAATGTCAATACTTTCCTTATAATTACATTGATTTCTTGCCTAAAGGTATGATTCTCAAAAAAAATGACTCTTCGATTTGCTTGAAGGTAAATCGGTATGTTCCAATGTA